ACTGACTGGAGTTCACCAATGAATCCACATGGCCCTGACACCTTCTTTTGCCTTTTGTAGCTGTAAAGTTCTCTTCAAAGGCTCGGGCCCATGGGTTAGTTTGGGTAGTTTCTGACTCTGAAGGAATTTCAGGCTTCATTGAACCTACTTGTGGGCATACAGTATGTAAAGTACTTTTTTCTTTTCCTTTTCCTGTCCATGCCATGAAAGGTGAGGATTCCCTTCTCATTTGCAGTAGCAGACATTGTTTCTTCTCCTTTTGCCTTGTGCTTAGACAGGCAGAGGTTTCACAATCTTATGGATTTTTTTCAAAAAAAATATTTTTTGACTTTTTTTTTACTCTGTCCTTTTTCTATTTCCTGTTACATTCATTTCTGAGAAAATTGCTATTTTTTCATTTTTTATCTAATTTACATCAGATTGCTTTTCTACTTACAACCTACTTTTCTAGGTTGTAAGAATCCCTTATTGATTTTAGATCATCGTTGTTTTCTAAAGTATTTCACTCAAGGGCTCCATTTTCCTTTTGAGCACTGCTTCATTGCAACCCAAAGTTGCAAAAGGGGTTTTTATTTGCTTTGTTCAAAATAGTTTAAAATGTCTATACAGTCTTCTTTGACCCATTTGTTTTGGAGAGTATGTTATTTAGCTTCCATAGTTCTTGCAAAATTTACCAAGTAATCTTCATTGCATTGATTGAACTCTATTGTATTACCATAGTTGCCCAGTGGCACAAGCTGTGTGACATACATTACTTTAAGTGGTTGTGCGGCAGAGCTCATACTTTGATCTGCCTTGGAGACTTCTTCACATGAACCTGAGAAGAATGTGTTTCTCTCATGGCTGAAATGTCTCTACACACCAATCAAAATAGTTAGTTGAGGGTTAATAATTTTCTTGGCCTGCCATAATCAAGTGCCTGGTTGGTGGTCAGTTTGAAGTACATGATATTTTATTTTCCCACAGGTCTGGAGATTGGGTGTCAGAAATCTAGGTTTATGCATAGTCACCCTCCCACAGAAACCCATCAGGACTAATCTTTCCTGTCCCTTCCCGGCTTCTGCTGGTTTCCTGGTGTCGCTCCCCCTCTTCGTGGAGGAACGACACAGGACCCTGCGCTGTTCTTTGTCTGCTCGGCCCTCCCCGGGTTTGCTGCTGGTTCTTCCCGGGTTGGCTACTGTCCCTTCCACCTCCGTGGAAGGGCAGTTCCCCCTGCCACATTCCCCACTTCCGCGGGGGAGCGGCACACCGCCGGCCGGCTCTCTCGGGGGCTGCACAGGTGTTCCTTCAGATAGATGTTCCCATTAGATGTTCCCGGTGCATGTTGTCTCTCTCCTCCTTTATAGTCCTCTTCCGCCAATCCCAACTCGGCTGCCCACACACCGAGTACGCTGCTCTCCTCCAATCAGCAGCAGGATCAGCTCCTGGAGGTCATCACTCACGTTGGCAAGAGGCAGCTGCGTAGAAGCTGTTTTCTCCTCTCCCAGTGCCATATTGTGGGAGAGCAGATGCATAGAATAAGTCTTGATTCCAGTAACTTAGTCTAGTCCGAGTTGCTCCCCACACCTGGAAATCCTGGGCCTCCTGTGTGTCTACCATAGCACCTGAATTTCTGTCCCCATCATTTCATGGCATCCTTCCATCTTGGACCTGTTTCCTCATCTTGTAAAAATGCCAGTCATAGTCATATGGGAACAAGTCCTTGCTACTCCAATATGAATTCATATTAACTGGTTAATCCTCCAATGACTCCATGCCCAAATAAGGTCACCTTCACAGGTCCTTCAAGTGAAAGGGGGAGGGAACTGGCTGAAGCCCTCATACTGCTGTTCATTTCAACTGCCACCTGGCTTGTTTCGATCCTGCTCAATCTGTCAATTTTCAATAGTAGTGAATTTGTGCCCCCCCATGCCACTCTACTGGAGGTCTCTGACTCTAATAAACCTTTTATATTTTAAGATTTATTTATTTATTTAAAATCAGAGTTACACAGAGACAGAAGGAGAGGCAGAGAGAGAGAGGAATCTTCCATCTGCAATTGGCTGCAGTGGCTGGAGCTGGGCTCATCTGAAGCCAGGAGCTTCTTCCAGGTCTCCCACATGGGTGCAGGGGCCCAAGGACTTGGGCCATCTTCTACTGCTCTCCCAGGCCATAGCAGAGTGCTGGATTGGAAATGGAGCAGCCTGGTCTCAAGCCTGCGCCCATATGGGATGCCAGCACTGCAGGTGGCTGCTTAACCTGCTACGTCACAGTGCAGCCTCCTCTAATAAATCTCAAAAAAAAATACTGAATTTGTCTATCTGCCCTTGTAGTTCCAACCATTTTTGCCTCAAGAATTCTGAGGCTCTACTATTATGCAAGTGCACAGTAAATATTGATCTAGACTGTTCAAGAACATTTGCTTTATTACAGAATGCCCAGATTTGTCACTAATACTGACCTTATTCTGAGATCTGATTATAAGAATAAATTAGAGCTAATGGCTGTAATGGCTGGAGCTGTGCTAATCCGAAGCCAGGAGCCAGGCACAACTTCCTGGTCTCCCACGTGGTGCAGGGACCCAAGGACTTGGGACATCTTCCACTGCTTTCCCAGGCCATAGCAGAGAGCTGGACTGGAAGAGGGGCAGTTGGGACTAGAACCGGTGCCCATATGGGATGCCAGCGCTGCAGCCAGAGGATTAACCTACTGTGCCATGTTGCCAGCCCCTATTTTGGCTTTTTTGAGGTAGTCTCTCCCTTTCTGTCACACTCTGTGTATCACCAAATAGTGGACAGCAGATGATGAAGCAGGTATCTCTCTGTACCTAAGTGTTCACAGCAAGCAGAAAACAGAAACAACAGAATCTGGATTATTTCCCAGTATCCAACAACAAACAGATGAGTAATGACAATGTGGTATATGAACACAATGGAAGAGTTTTAATATGTAAAAGTGAATTTACGTTTTATACCAGACCAGGGATGGACATGGTAACACCTGACACTGTAATAAGGTGGACACAGAAAGACAAACACTGTATGTTTCCATTACAATGACATGTCTACAACAGGCAAATTCAAAGGGACTGGAAGTACAGATTAGTTGGGGATGGAAGGAGGAGAAGGTAAAGTTCTTCCGTTATAGATGCAGAGTTTAGATTGGGTATGATGACAATAGTTGGGGCACACAGGGGTGGTGCTTACACAGCACTGCCAAGTAATTCATGCCACTGAAATTTTCACTTACAAGTGATTCAGATAATAAATGTCTACTTGCCCAGAGCAATTTAAAAATACCTGAAAGGAAAGATGGCAAATGTAATAGCTGCTTATGTAGATTCATGGAGGTAAATGATCTTGGGACACAACAAGAAAAATGGGGGGATTTCCATGGTCTACATTTTGGGCATTTCCACGCCCATTTTGGGCAGGAGCAAAGATGAGGCATCATCAAGGAATCAGTGCACTATGGCATTCGCCTATTTCTAAATTGACTGTTTCGTAATGATTTGGTTGCTAGTAGTAAGAAAGCCAAAACTCTCCTTCTCATTTCTTTCCTGCTCCTCTTTTGGGCTTTGTCATCCACCAGGGAGGATGGCCCAGCAGCGGCATGTGTGCAGTTCCAAGCCCACATCAGGTGGCCTTCCTGCTACTTGTGGGTGCAGGGCTGGCTTGTCTTTTTCTTGCTCTGTTACTGAGTGCAGCACAGAACTCTTGACATTGTTCACTGCTCACCAACCACCTAGGCCTAGGCCCATGTCCACAGCAAGCAAGTCTCTCTGCCGAACTCATCCACAACACCTGACAGTTACCCCTGGTTCACCTAGCTGCTCCTGAGGACCTGGTGGAAGCGATTCCGAGAGACAGAGCAGAGGAGGAGGTCACATCTCTTGGCAAGGTATGACTGGGGTTTTTGGTCACAGAAACAAATGTTCCTGGTATACAATCACTAGTCTTATTTACTTATTTATTTGAAAGGCAGAGTTACACAGAGACAGGGGAAGAGAACAAAAGATCTTCCATCTAGTAGTTTACTCCCCAGATGCCTTCAAAGGCCAGAGTTGGTCCAGGCCAAAGCCAGGAGTCCAGTGCGCTATCCAGATCTCCCACATGAGTGATAGGGGACATTCTCCATGCCTCCCCAGGCACAACAGCATGGCATTGTATTGGAAGCTGAGCAACCAGGATGCAAACTGGCACTGCAGGATGGACTGCTGGCACTGCAGGCAGCAGTTCCATTCACTGTGTCACAACATCAGGCCCAGGCAACGTTTTTCTCAGATACGAAAATCTGAACGCCTATACTGCAGATGACTTCCACAATTTATTTGTGGGGGAAGCCCAGGGCATGTCTGTTATAAAGTGAGACATGACTCAAGAGGGTTTCCTGTAATCACAGCATCAATTACAAGTGATGTGGTGCTGGGCGTTTTCCACAGGAGCAGTTCTGCATAGTTTAAATATTTTATGATTTAAAAGATTTATTCATTATTTGAAAGGCAGAATAACAGAGAGACAGACAGACAAAGATCTTAAATCCTCTGGTTACCTTCCCAAATGGCTATAATGGCTGGGGCTGGGCCATGTGGAAGCCAGGAGCTAGGAACTCCATCTGGGGGGGGTCTCCCACTGGTTGGAAGGGACTCAAATACTTGGGACATCCTCCACTGCCTTCCCAGGTACATGAGCAGGGAACTGGCAGCAGCAGGGCAGCCTGGACTTGATTTGGTGCTCTGATATGGGATGCTTGCCTCACAGGGGGCAGCCTAACCCAGTGTGCCACAAGGCCAACCCCCAGGTTTTCATTTTCACAAATGAATGTTGCATTTGCCAACCAAAATGAACACGTAAAATGGGCTGTGAAAAGCTCACGTATTTCACACAAGTATCCTCTGTGCTTTATTTGGGGCATTTGCCTCATGCACTGTATCCCATCAAGTTTCCCAAGGTCAGCACCAGGAGAAGAGACCTGTGCAAACAGTATCTGACCTCACAGTGACTTCCTTTCTCTGACTGCAGGTGGACTCAGGATCCAGTGGACACTGTACGTATTCTAGAATGCCTCAGGTGCTGAGGAACAACTGAAGGGAGGAGACACTGGGACCTTCCTGCTGGTTCTCTTCTGGAGAGCCAACCTGATTCCAGCTTCCTGGTGGATTAAAAAGATTGAGGGTGTGGTAAAACAAAAACCAGAAAGACTAGCACATAGCTACAGGTATCTAAGGCAGGCTCTGGAAATAGCTATGTCATTTAGATGGTGGGGGTTTCTGTGCCCCAGTATGGTGAGTTTCTAGGAGTGAGCGTGTATGTCTTTGAAAGTGCTTGGATGTGTATATGTGTACATATTTCCCACAGAAAATGTGTTCCCAAATGCACAGCTCAAGGTTCAATTCTCAAAAAACAAAAACAAAAAAGAACCTGATCACCTTCTGCACTTTATGTAAGTGAGCTCATTCAACCCTCACCCCACATGTGTCTGATGGTTAGGTCACAATTCCATGGCTTAGCTGGATATGAAACATACTCCCAACATATGTGAAAAGTATTTAATACTAATGAAAACAGTTTAAAATATATTTAGGGAGCTGGAAAGGTCAACATGATTTGATCATCACACACTGTCTGCATACAATGAATTCTTATGCTATAATCCATAAAGATACCATTTCTAATGGTAATAAAAACAATAAGATCAGGAGAAAAGTTTTACCATAATGCCTGGTGCTCATTTTTAAATGGTGGAATTTCACCATTTTTACATCTTCTTCATTTACTTGTGTGGTACCTAGGGATTGGCAATAAATGAACATGTTGCTTTGCCTACAACTGAGTCCTTCTCCCACTAACGGTTGCTTTTAATTAAGTTCAGAAGCTCATAGGAGAGATGACATATTCAAATACAATAAACAGATATTGATCCCTGAGTAGTAGTGACCTTGGGAAACATCAAGACGACAGTAGCCGTTTATTTGGCTTCTAAACATGCAGGAGTCGTCCCAGGACTCTTACGGAAATACAGCAACCGTGGTGGTATTGACCCTAAATAGTTCCCATGAATGAAGCTGCCTTGAGCTAGAAAGCTTAAGGCTCTGCTTCTCAGGTCTTTCACGTTCTTTTCCTTGGCCTTAACCCTCACCCCATGCCCATGTCCACCAATGCTCCCTGATGCACCAGTGTACTGACAGTCACCATATGTCCATCTAGTGCCCCTGGAGGATGCATGGGAGGAGCTTCCTGGTGACACGGAGGATAAAGAAACTCCAGAGTACACTGAGGTAAGGGCACCAGCCTTCCTCTAAAACAGAAATGTTCCTTCCTTGGCTTCTTCCGTTCTCAACCATATGAAGAGAAGAAAAATCTGAACATGGATAGGGTCCATGATACACCCTGTGCACGGTGAGGGCCACTGAGAGGGAGAGTTTACACCAACAGAGAGCTGACACGGGACACAGGGACAAAATGACTGTCAGGACTGGACCACAGCAAGCTTTTCTCTGCAGCACTTCTCCTCTTTTGAAAGGAATTTTGTGACTTCCCACCACAGTGGACTGGAGAGACACGTCCCCCATGAAGAGCTCATGCCTGCTGGCCTGAGTGTGATCGCTCTGCTCACATCTTTGGGTTCCCTCCATAGGACCACTCTTTCACATGGGGTTTCCCAGTGTCACCAAGGGTATTAAAGACGGGTGCAAAGGGACACAGAGTGTTCAGACCCTCATGGTGCCATTTTCTAATTACAGGTGATTTCAATACGAACAGCAAGTGGTATGTATTCGGGAATCACTTACTCCCTATAGTATGAATAGTCCAGATGACAGCACAAATGGGACTATCTTGGGGGCTTTAGTGTGAAAGGCCACCTGACGCCCAATTCCTGCTATGACAGAGGACTAGGAGTGCGGTGGTGGGAAATTAACTTCCTCATAAAGGGTAATGATCATTTTCTGGGGTCCCTGGAAGATACTGGCTTGTGCATGGGGGTGGGCTTTATCTATGTGGGTACCCATGTGTTACAGTTCTGAGTGTCTGAGTTTGGCAGTTTGTGTGTATTACCCTAATGATGTTCCTTTGAAGCCACTATCAGTTCTCTGTAAAAAAGCAATCACAGAGGTATTGCTGCATGGTTACAGTAATATGTATATAAAAAAGTGGTGGGTTTCAGATGCAGGCTGGAGGCACTAGGGAAAGTGAGACGTTGAGAGGTGGTGCCGTCAGCTCCTCTCCCTCCCTGGAAGGCTTGAAGCTGTGGTCAATGTCTGCCTGAAGGTCAGGTCCACAGAGCCCAGGAAGAGGCTGAGAGCACAGAGCAAGGGGCAGGGTCATGTTGAGCAATCCAGGAGAGGAATGGGTGAGACTCTCTGTGAACACTTACTGTCTGTGTTTGTGTCTCTCAAGATTGGGTCTTGCAGAGCGTTTCTGACTATAACAGTGAGGATGAAGCCTCTTCAGGTAGGAGCAACACCCACAAAGACCAGAGGGTCAAATTAGGGCAATGCTTGGGTTATCTGCTGCTGTGGACTCCTGAGAGGACATAGGAACTCAGGAGGAAAAAAGACATTGTATGTAGACATCTGATTTGTTCTTTTTTATATTAATTATAGAGTAGGAAGAGGTTTTATGCCCATGGGATTGGAGCAATAGAAATTTTTAACTATCATTTCTTGCTTTACTATTTAAAACTTTACATTTGCTTAATACTGGCCACCCCGGCTTTTCCATTGCAAAGATCAAATCCACTGCATTGTGACAGGACAGCACTACCTTCGAATTGAACACAAGAGATGTCTGGGTTTTGCACTGACCATTGTCTTCGTCCATTTCTGGCCACAACGTAATACCTGAGACTCTGTAACTAATCAGGAACAGAAATTTCTTTCTTACAAGGTTGAAGGTCAAAGAGCAAGGTGCTGCCATTGTGTCTCAGTAAGGGCTCCTTGCTTCATCCTCAGCTCAGGGCAGAAGGAAGAAGAGCACCCCCCCCACACACACACCCAGGGTCAGTTGAGTTAAAGAATACTTGCTCTGGGCTGACTGGGGAGGCCCCAGCATCTTAGAGTTGTGAGGTCCAAGCATTACTCTGGGTTCATCTTGGCTTCCACATCTCATCCAAGTCTAGTGTTTGGAGTAGACTGTGTGACAGGCCATTATCCAGCTGCTACTGGAGACACTGCATAGCTGTACAGGCTGCCCAGAGGATGTGTGTTAGGGGATCCTGGGCTGGACACACACGAGGTGCTGCTGACCTCATCTCCTGGAATGCACTGGGCTCAGTGGAGGGCCTCTGGGCAGCAGGACTGGGCATCACTGTTCCCCTCAGATGCACTGCTTCAAACACAGCCTGTTCCCCCTCCAGTCATGCCTAGCAGGTTCCCTGTCCTCAGGCCTGCCAACTTCCTACTTCCCAGTCCTCCCACTGCTCAGTGAAAACTCTAGCAAGTCCCATTTATTGATGTGGCCAAGAATACACCTGCTGTGGACACCCTGTTGCCTCCTTGGCCGACTACCAGAATTTGAACAAATTAAATTTCTTCTCCTCTTTGGGTCATCTTTTCAAGTGGATCAGGAAACATGGGATTCTTGTGATGATTCAATATTTCCAAACTCCATGAGGTTACCCCAGACAGGTGGGGTTGGTCCTCATTACCTTCCCAAGGCCCAACAAGCGTCCATGACACTTGTTCCCCATGTAAGTGATCTATAGATGTATTGCTGTGCGTGGCAATACATTTTTTAAAGATTTATTTACTACTTGAAAGGCAGAGTTATAGACAAAGAGGGAAATCAGTGAGAAATCTTCCATCCACTGGCAGAGTCCCCATAGAACCTCAATGAGCAGGTTGGACCAGGCCAAATCAGGAGTCCAAAACTCCATCAGAGTCTCCCAAACAGCTGGCAGGGCGCAAGCACGAGACATCTTACACTGCTTTCTGAGGCACATTAGCAGGGAACTGGATCAGAAGTGGAGGAGCAGGGACACCAACCAGGGATCCCATTAGGGGTCCCCACAGGTGGCGCTTGAACCTGCTGCACCACAATGCCAGCCCCAGGTGGCAGTATATCTTTATCTTGGCCTCCAGAGCTCCCATATCAGACAATAATATGACTGGTAGAAGATGACAAGGACAAAGGAAATGGACAAGAGTTATGAGACAAAATAGAGGAAGGGAAACACGAGGGATGGAAAACAATGAGTTGCACACATCGACCCAGTGGCTACCTATGGAGGAACAAGGTGATACTTCTTAGGCACAGTGATGGGAATCTGAGGCAGGAAGAAGAAGGCAAAGTTCAGAGATCCTCTCACTTATTACAGAGGTGAAGCCATCTAGGCCTGGGATAGGGATATAGACATGGGGTCCAAGGTTGACCCACATCATCTAACCAGCAGCAGGGATCCGAGTCCTCACCTCAAGTCTAACTCTCCCCTTTCCTTCTCTCTGGCAACCTCAACACCCCTGCTCTGGTGCACATGGAAGGCTATGTGGCAGCATCGGAACATTCCCTCGGGAGCAGCGATCTGGGAGTAAGTGATTTCTTCTTTCATCTCTTTTCTGATTCTCTTGCTTTCTTGCTCACAAGCCCCTGATCCTGCTTCTCCCACATTCCCACCTCACCACAGTGGATGAATCGCATCTTGAAGGACCTGGTGGCATCCAGGCAGTGGATGTCCTTGCACTGTGGATGCTGATCCAGTCTCTCTGCAGCCCTCCCCTCTCCCTTCATCACCCTTGCCCTCACTCCTCACCCCCGGACTGCACTATGAAATGGTGCTGAGGAACCCGACTGCCCACACAGGGAGCTGGGCTGGGGACAGGCAGGCAGGGTCCCAGTGTCAATGGAGGGAGGACTCCTGGGAAGTCTGACTCTGGCTTCCATGTCCCCCAGGACAGCGCTTTTCCTTAACACCTGGTTCAGAAAACATACTTGTCTCCTTCCAGCTGTCCACATGTTCCCTGGATGCGAACTATCCCCAAAGTCTTCAGGACATGGAGGACCTCAATGAAGATCAGGAATTGTGAGTTTAGAGCAGGTAGCTCGGGGTCAGGGAAGTAAGGGCACATGGACTCCATTGCTTCACATTCTTTGTGACACCTCAGGGAAGCCAACAAACTGGAGCCCAGAGGTGGAGAGGCTGCCGTGGAGCCTGACCTGGAGAGTGGAGAGGAATGGCTATTCAGGATCCACGCAGGTGAGTGAAGGATGTACCCTGAGGTGGTCCCAGGGCTCCCCTAGGGCTTCCAGGCTGAGCCCCCAGGAGCTGCTTACATCTGAAGGGAAGGCTGGGGGTGCTGGTACAACTGGCATGTAAATGGCTTCAGTGTGGCCACGGGTGGTGTTGTTTCTGGAAGAGCCACCAGAGCCACTCAACACCTCCCTCTGGAGGGCACTTTCCTGCCTGCCCGACATGGATGCCAACAGGGAGCCTCACCAGCTGTGGTGGGACACTGGTGTTGTCCCTGAGCTCCTCCACCTCGAGACAATGAGGTGAGGATGGACAGAGGGAGGCACCTCTGGGCTCCTTTTCACACCAGAAGAGGCCACAGATCCACCTTTGCAGCCCTGTGGGTACCCGGCCCATCCTGACACCACTTAGGAGCCAGTGCAGAACAAGGGGCTGCTGGGATTTCCCCAATCCTCAGGGGGCCCTCAGCCCCTTTTCTTAGAGGGTGACAACCGAGGCTTTTTAAAATATGTTTAAACTGTTTTATTGGGGGGGATATAAAATCACCTGTATAGCTGTCAAGTTCAAACAGAAACACTTGACATCAATTCAAGGCAAAGCTCACTTTGGAGAGTGACAGGAGCAGGGCCACAAGTCCCTCTGTTCTTCTTGTCGGTGCTCTGATTTTACACTTCAATTACACACACACACTGGTTTTACGCCCCTTTCAGAAGAAGTTTCTTCCATCCCAGTTCCATGCTGAAAGCTACTAAAGCAATCACGATATGGTTTTAGTGCCACAAAATAACTGTTTCCAATTACATGCTTGAGATCAGATCTACAGGGAGGATAGAAAGAAGTTCTGCAGGAATAGCGAAGGAAACCGAAGAGCTGGGGCAGTTGTCTGTAGTTAAGATGTGGGTCACAGGCTGGATCCTGGATCCTGAGGGTGAGGTCAGACTGGGCAGGATCACGGCCCCACCCTGTGTCATCAGACCCAGGGGAATAGGCCTTGGCTTTTTAATCCCAGGACCAGGTTAGAACGGCTTACTTACACAAATCTACCAAAAACAGATGCTGGTGAATAAGTGGGGAAAAGGGACACTAACCCACTGTTGGTGGGAATGCAAACTGGTAAAGCCACTATGGAAGCCAGTATGGAGATTCCTCAGAAACCTGAATATAACCCCACCATACAACCCAGCCAATCCTCTCCTTGGAATTCACCCAAAGGACATTAAATTGGCAAATAAAAGAGCTGTCTGCACCTCAATGTTTATTGCAGCTCAATTCACAATAGCTAAGACATGGAATAGACCTAAATGCCCATCAACAGTAGACTGGATAAAGAAATTATGGGACATGTACTCTATAGAATACTATACAGCAGTAAAAAAAAAGAAATCTGGTCATTTGCAACAAAATGGAGGAATCTGGAAAACATCATGCTGAGTGAAATAAGCCAGTCCCAAAGGGACAAATATCATATGTTCTCCCTGATCGGTGACAACTAACTAAGCACCTAAAAGGAAACTTGTTGAAGAGAAATGGACACTATGAGAAACAGTGACTTGATCAGCCCTTGTCCTGACTATTGAGGAACAACTTACTACTTTATTCCTTTTAGTATTTTTTTGTTCTATTTAGTACCATTGGTTGAACTCTTTAATTAACACACAATTATTCTGAAGTGTTGAAATTTAACTGAAAAGTGATCCCCATTAAATATAAGAGTGGGAATAAGAGAGGGAGGAGATGTACAGTTTGGCACATGCACAATCGGACTTACCCCTAATGGTAGAGCTAGAAACATACCAGGCGATTCCAATTCAATCCCATCAAGGTGGCATGTACCAATGCCATCTCACTAGTCAAAGTGATCAGCTTCAGTTCATAATTGATCATAATGATAGGATTAAGAGTCAAAGGGACACATAAACAAGACTAGTGTCTGCTAATACTAACTGATAGAACTAAAATGGAGAGAACAATCCAACATGGGAAGCAGGATACACAGCAGACTCACAGAATGGCAGATGTTTTAAACAGCGCTTTGGCCTCAGAATCAGCCCTTAAGGCATTTGGATATGGCTGAAAAGCCCATGAGAGTATTTCCGGCATGGAAAGCCAAGCCACTCAGGGGAAAAAAAAATGACCTAAATGAAAGATCTCTGTGAGTGAGATCCCAGTGTAAAGAACGGGCCATCAAAGAAAGAGGTACCTTTCTCTGAAGGGAGGAGAGAACTTCCACTTTGACTATGGCCTTGTCTAAACAAGATGGGAGTTGGTGAACTCAAGAGGCTCCCAGGCCAGCGCCGTGGCTCACTAGGCTAATCCTCTGCCTGTGGCGCTGGAACCCCAGGTTCTAGTCCCGGTTGGGGCACTGGATTCTGTCCCAGTTGCTCCTCTTTCAGTCCAGCTCTCTGCTGTGGCCTGGGAAGGCAGTGGAGGATGGCCCAAGTGCTTGGGCCCTGCACCCTCATGGGAGACCAGGAGGAAGTTGGCTCCTGGCTTAGGATCGGCGCAACAAGCCGGCCACAGCACGTTGGCCATAGCACCAATTTGGGGGGTTAACCAATGGGAGGAAGACCTTTCTCGCTGTCTCCTCTCTCACTGTTTAACTCTACCTGTCAAAAAAAAAAAAAAAAGAGGCTTCCATAGCATTGGCAGCTCATGACAAGAGCCTCGGGTGATTACTGACGTCATAGATAAGAGTGTCAATTGTTAGACCAACAACAGGAGTCACTGTGCACTTACTCCTCATGTAGGATCTCTGTCCTTAATGTGTTATACTATGTGAATTAATGTATAACTGGTACTCAAACAGTGCTCTATACTTTGTGTTTCTGTGTGGGTGCAAAATGTTGAAATTTTACTTACTGTATACTAAACTGATCTTCTGTATATAAAGATAATTGAAAATGATCTTGATGTGAATGGGATGGGAGAGTGAGTGGAAGATAGGATGGTTGTGGTGGGAGGGAGTTTATGGGGGAAAAAAGCCGCTACAATCCAAAAGTTGTACTTTGGAAATTTATATTTAGTAAATGAGAGAGAGAGAGAGAGAGAGAGAGAGAGAGAGAGAGAGAGAGAGAGAAATCCTAGGGCCCGAGAGACTTGCCCTTTCCTGTGCATCAAGTTCACATTTTAAGGGGTCACCTCCCTGAAGGCTGTCCCATGAATGCCTGGGGGAATTCGCCCTAGCAAATGGGCCTCAGTGACCACGACCCTGACTGCTGCTGAGTTCAGGAGATCCTGAGATCAGGAGCCCTGTGAGTGCTGTACTCCCATCCCACTGCCCACACCCCTGCTGCATCCCTGTCCCCCCACTGACCCCTGCTCCTGTGTCTTTCTTGCAGACATCTTCAGCTGCTCGGAAGTCTGCAGTGTGGAGTCCTTGGACCCAGAGGAGCTGGAGCTTCCCACACCATCGGAAGCTTGAACCACACAGGAGGAGACACAACAGCAGCCACGGCCCTCCTCACCAGTCCTCTGCGAGCTCTGATATTAAATCATCACCGAGCACCAGTTGGTTTTCATATGGTTTTGTCTAATAAAGCACAGTGTAGGAAAACAAGCTTAGCAAAGGTAGAAGTCCAAAGGGTCCGGGAGCAGTCACCTGGTGAGTGCCCTCACCAGCACTCTCTGGAAAGGAACCAGAAAGATGTGGTCTCCACTGAAAGTCACTGCCAGGCGTGGTCTTTTCAATCTGTGCTGCAGCAATGACTTCCTAGTGGTTGTGTTGTCTCGTGTCTGCTCCTCCTCTGGAAGGGACCATGAGGTCCATCTCACCCAAGACCTCTCATGACCACCTGGACGCCAATGCATTTTTCACCTAACGTCAGCTTGGATGGCACAAAGTTCCTGACTTATCCTTTCTCTTCTTGAGTATCTTAAATACATTTTTATTCCCCTGACCCAGTCTCGCTATCTCTACAAGATTGGTGAGAGTCTCATTTTCATTTCCTTCTGTGCCGCTCATCCTTGAACTCTAGATGCATGAACACATTTTCTTTTAATTCACAGATGCTACTACTAGAGTATCAGTGACATCAGTCACTCAAAGTCAGACCCAGGATTCTATGAAGTAGTGTGGGAGTATACTTCATAGCAGAAGAAGTCTGAATTCTAATTATTAGTCTGGATCACTGCATTGGTTCCCTCTTCCAGGAATCCCATTCATACACATGCATGGATTCACCTTTGGTATCTCCCTCTCGTGTTCTGAAATCTTCAGTAAACTTCCTATTCTTAACAGTATTTCCCTTTATGCCACCTTCTGCTTCTTCTAAGGCACAGTCTGTTCCTGTGTTTCTTGTGGTTTGCATTTCAAGGCTGATGTTATTTTCTCCTGTTTTCCTTCTTCTTTCCTGAGTCCTGCCCATCCATTTCTGAGTTTCCCTGATTCTTAGTAATGATGTCCCTTCATGCTTGGTACCATTGTCTTGGTGATTTTTCCTTCATCCTGAAAACGACTCTGCTCCACACACAAAGGACAGCCAAGATCGGAGTCTGTTCATGTGTGGCGTGGTTCCTTCTTTGTTTCGATTACTGATTCTCCCTCTGGTACCCTTGTATGATCCATCAATATTTTGTTTTCTTCCTTTTTACAGAAAATTAGGTTTTGGAAATTCTGAATGAGCAACAGCATTCAGAAATGCCTGTCTCGCCTCACCCTGCTTTCTCAGTTGTTTCTGCGCAATGCTAAATAATACAACACCTAATCTCCTGCCTCTGTAGTTCATTGTTTCATGAACCTCCCCTCTCAATCAGTCTGACCTGATTATTCTTACTCAATAGAAGTCCTGTTATGGAGGACAACAGCCCCCAAGTTCCCAAATCTAGATTCAGTCCCTTTATACAGGGAGGCAGTGTCAGAATCCTGGAGCTCACGGAGTTATTTCTATCATGTGTCTACAAAATGCTTCCCCTGAGTTACTGGTTAACCTTTCTCTGTTGGTCACTATTTCATTCATAGGATCATTAGGTCTGAATTTCTTCTGGTTTATTTGAGTCACAAAATAAAA